TTTTTTGTAAAAGACGGGTTTCACCATGTTGGCCGGGCTGGTTTCCAACTCCTGACCTTAGGTGACCCACCCACCTTGGCCTTCCAAAGTGCTGGGATTACAGGCATGAGCCACTGTGCTGGGCCTCAGTGGGCTCTTTAAGGGCCAGCAGCAAGCTAAAATCTAGGACTACTGTGGTGCTAGTGATAGTGTTCGTGTTTTGAATCATCATTAACATTTGCTAAGAGGAAAAATATTATTATGTATTTTTTTGCTGATGCTCACTCTTCTCAAAAGAAGGCATTTATATTTATGTCTTTATGAATGTGAAAGGCTTCTTCATTCTCCTTTTGTCTCCACACCTTTCCTCTGTCTGCCTTGGCATGTAAGCTTGTTGTTTTCCCTAAATTAGACAGAAAAGAAGGAAATCTAATTTGAGTGGACCTGGGTCAGGTTTACTCTGGGAAAGATGTCTTTGCTATGCTGTTACCTACCACACACCCACTGCGTTTGGCTTTTGGGCGTTTTGCAACCCAAAGCATGGGGGAAAGAGAGAGACAGAAAGAAGGGGAAAGGGAATTACTTTGAAAGTGGTGAAACTATTCCTGAGCTGCTCTTTATTTTCCAAGCTATGCTGAGAACACCCACTCATACCAGCCACCTAATCAGACTGCTTCCTGGGGGTAATTTATGTATCTCTGACAAGAGAAGGCCCCCTGTGAGCCTGGTATTTGTACAACTGCCACCTAGAGAACTGGGAGCCGTGGGTAAAGCAGCTCTTGAAGGCAGTGCCTGGAGGCGACTCCTTGAGTGTTACAGAGGTGACTTAGTGAGTTAAGACCAGGAGTATAAAGAAATTACTCGAGAGCCCAGTGTTAAAGAGGGAGGTAGCCTGTGGTCATGTAGAAGTTTCTGCTAAGGGAGCATGAGTAGATGTCCAATGCTATAAGGTGACACCTGATAGGCTGATGGCAAAGATGAAGCCACTGGTGTTGAAATGAAAGCTGTTTGATACAAAAGTCAAAGAGGAATGTGAAGGAAGGCAACCTGTGCCTGGGATCTGAGGTTTTCTGCAAACATCATAGTAAATGACAGTTGACCATCGCAGGAAACATCAAGGTGAAGCAGGCCTGGCGTGTCAAAGGCGGGCAGTAGCACGTGCATGTTTGTATGCCAGCCGAGCGGCGGGGAGTGATCCTTTTCCAAATAGCTGGTAATGCAGCCCACAGGAAGGTAAATTAGTGTGCAGGCTCCAGGGACAGACATCACAGAAGGACAGATGTTCATGGAGCATGGCTGCTGCCCTCCAGGGGAAAATAAAGACCAAGACAATCGGGGAGCCTGTCCACATCTGAGATGGGGTGACCAACCTCAACTGGGGCCAGCCTCTGTCCACTGTGGTGGGACTGATTTCTATTTTCTTTATTATAATTTTTTGTGTTTTAAAATTTTCTAAAATGGATACTGTTTTTGGATTCCAAAAAGCTTTCTTTGAGTGTTCACTAACCCATGACAGCACTTTTTATTGCTGTGTACCGGCCATTTCCAAGTGTGCATGTCACAGTTAGGATGCATGGTGGGCACACCTAACCTTTCCCCCTTCTGCTTGTTTCTGGTTAAAGGTGGCATCACACAAAATTGGACTGTGTCGGGAGCTCTTGGGCTACTTCGGCCTCTTTCTCATTCGGTTTGGCAAGGAGGGCAAGCTCTCTGGTAAGAAGGAAGGAACAAATGAATCAGCTAGGAGATGGGGTGGACAGGTGTGAGCAGGGGCTTGATGCAGGACTCACAGCTGAGGGACTGGCCACCCACCAGGCTATGATCCCTACTGCTGTTCTCAGTCACTGGGTTAAGGGTTTGGGGAATGGGAGGTTGCGTCCTTGTTAGGGGAGAGTGGAGGCAAACCACTCATACCTTGGGTGGTCCAGTAACTGCACTTGTGCACCCCCAGCCCTAATTCTGATGCCCCTCCCCTTTACTGCAGACTAGGCCTGACCACTGACCACCTGCCTGCACCCTTTCCTGTGAATGGAGTGCTAGACTCCGGGGGTCAGGACGCCCCACCACAACATCACTTTTCCTTGTTAAGGAATATTTGTGGATGATATCAATGAGTTATTACATACCTTTTTTAAAGCGTAATGAGATAGTGTAAGAAGACAATCTGATTCTCATATCTTTTGTTTTCTCTATAGTATGTTTTAAGATATTACAAGGTTTTTGTGTGAAATGGTGTCAGTTATATCAAAGTAGTTTGTAAATGTCCTCAAGAAGCCAGGGGAGGTGATTTTGAGTTGGAAGATAAGGGGCTTGTGTAGAGGGTTGGCTGCTAGGCCCTGTGGTGAGCTGCAAAGGCGCTGGATGTCTCTGGATCTGTTTTTTCATCTGTATCACAGTGTAAAACATCCCCCACTCAAGGGGCGGATATTTTTGAGGATCAAATGATATTTATTTTTTGAATGAACTTCAGAAAGTTAAAATTACATATAAATACAGAGGATATTCTTACTGTGATTTTATTATTTCCAATAATAAGGTTTTATTTTCTCATTTGAAAGCTGCTATATATAAGCTGTCTGTGCTATTTCAGCCAGTAAGACCAGCTTTCCCCTTTCTCTAGTTGTGAAAAAATTGGCCGACTTTGAACTCCCTTATGTTAGTCTTGGAAGTTCTGAAGTGGAAAACTGTAAGGTTGGACTCCGAAAGTGGTAAGTAGGTACTGAAAATGACAGAGGCGTTTGAGGACATTTCACCATTGCCCATCAAGACTTATCAGAGTCCCGTCACATCCTGCTCACAGCCTGACAGCTGGAGACCAAGAACTTAGAGAAGGTTGTAAGAAAAGCAATGAAGGCCAGGTGCTGTGTCTTATGCCTATAATCCCAGTACTTTGGGAGACCAAGGCAAGAGGATTGCTGGAGCCCAGGAGTTCAAGATCAGCCTGGGCAACACAGCAAGACCTCATCTCCACTAAAAATAAAAAAAAAATAGCCAGCTGTGGTGTTGTGCATCTATGGTCCCAGCTATTCAGGAGGCTGAGGCAGGAGAATCACTTGAGCCCAGAAGATTGAGGCTGCAGTGAACCAAGATTACACCACTGCACTCCAACCTGGGCAGCAGTGCAAGACCCTGTCTCAAAAAGAAAAGAAAAGCCATGAAAATGAGAGAGGGTGAAATAAACTAGTTTCTGAATATTTGTCCTAAAGAATAGGATGTTGAGGATGACTTTCAGTAGTCTCAGGTAAATACTCAGGGCTGGGTGGGGTATGAAAATGAGGAGGGTAGTCATCTTTCTGTATCTCTACTGATAGGCGAACAAGAAAGTAAGACTTGAAAACCAGGGGCGGGGCCAGGGGATGTGGATCAAAGCAGGTAATGGTGAGAAACGGCTGGCCTTGGGTTTGCTTTGCAGTGCATCACTGACTGTATTAATGGAGGGACTTTGTTGGTGATTACAATCAGATCCGATTCATCCGTAGAAGTGCGGCATTCCCTGAAGGTGAAGGGTGGATTCAGCCAGTTTGCAGTGAATTTGAACTCTAAGTACTGGGCTTACACAGGCCTAAAGGATGTGTACCACGGCCATCTGTATTCCTAGATAGATAGGACACAAATGTCCCTCAGCAGAAAATACTGTCATTTCCTCTAGTAACACAGGGGCCTGTGGAGAACAAAATATTATAGAAAATAGCACCAAGCAGCAGGACCTTATGCACCCCCAGTCCTATAACCTGCAGCTCCCAGCGTTTATTACTGTGGCCGCAGGGGATTGCTCCTTAGGCTCGCTCTCTCCCAGCCCATTTATTCTGCTATCTGAGTACAGAGGTTTTAAAGAAAAGTATTTTGAAATCTAAGAATTCCCTTGACCTTGTGATGCCTTGCTCTAGAGCTCCAGTTTGTGGCTTTGAATTGTGGAAGGATATTCCCAGCGAGGCAATTTGTATACTGCCGTTCAGAAGTATCTTGAGGAGTGGTCCAGCTCTTGAGGTGTGAAACCCTGAGAAGGGGAGAAGGACTTGGTTCCATTCAATGGTTTAGAGAACAGCTCTTCTGGAAGCTGCTTACTGTAGTGAGTGGCTGAGCACAGTTGTTCCTAGAATTACAGTATGTGAATCTAAGTCGCGGCTTGCTCAGGTCTTAGCTGCATAAACCTAGCCAAGTTTGTTCAAGCTCTCTAAGCCTCAGTTTCTTTATCTGTAAAATGGGAATAATAAAAATAGTGTCTACATCATAGGATTATTGTAAGGGTTATGTAGAATAGTCCCATATACTCAGTAAGTTTTGGTCATGTTTGTGACTGTTATATTGATGATATGGTGATTATAGGAAGTAAAAAAAAAAAAATCCCTGGGGCTTAGATTTTCACTCATGTGCTCTCCTGAAAACTTGAGATCAAAGGAGAGATGACAATTCTGTTTCTTATCTTGAAGCTTGAATTAGAAATTAGGCACTGCCTATGTCTTTATTAAATAGGTAAACTCTAGGTGATACATGCAAGAGAAAACATCTACCCCAAATTATAAGCCAGCATCTCAGATTCAGGCAGATTGCCTTTGTTGATGGGAACTGGGAAGAAAGGAGGTCCCACTTCTGTTGTTACAGCTAAGGATCAGGTCTCTGGAGGGGAGATTCTGGCATAGGCTCCTGCAGGTGCCTTGCCCTCTTTCCTGAGGGAAGTCTTGTTGGGTGGGAGCTGGAAGGCTAACTCCAAAAGCCGAGTGATTCCCAGCAGGTGAAGCCTCAGTGAGGCCTGAGCGGCATCTTAAGAACTTTTCTGTCCTTAAGGAGAGATGCCTGGGTGCATCTCTCCAGTGTTGATGATATGGCTTCCTCCAGGCCAGAGGGTGCCTGTGCTGGCCTGTGGGAGCCCCAGTCTGGGATGGGTCTTTTCTCTGCACACAGGCATCTCTGGGATGTGTGGGTGCATAGTTACCTGGAATGTAAGTAGGGATGCTTCAGTTACTGCTCCCCACCCCAAAAGGAAGTTGACCTTCAAGCACCATATTTATCCCTTTCGTGGTCTAAGCCAACCCCATTGGTCTAATCACCCTATTCTTCTGAGCGTAGCAACTCTGCTTACCTCTGCCTTCTGGTTGGCAGAGATCAGCCATAGGTACCCTTTCCTGACAGTTTCAGTCCCTTCTTAACATACTACTGTGCTTCTACAGTCATTAATTTCAGTTCCTCGTGATTCTGGATCTGATAGGCAGACACGGAGCCCCTGCGATTTGCAAATCACTCTACCAAGATCCAGAGGGGCAACTCTGGATAGGCCCCTGGCCTTGGGGTTCTTCACAGATGGTGTCAAGAAAACTTAATCAGGGCGGCGATTGGAATAAACTCAGGGTGCAGAGGAAGCACAGTGGATGGGCGGGCTAATACAGCCTTGGGAAGTAGGGACCAGAGGAGGGTGCGTTGCTTGAGGCTTGCAAAGAAAGGCCAATCAGTCAGGGGAGGAGATTGGCGTGGGCTTGGTCTTCCAGGCAGGGGGACAGGAGAGAAAACATGGTTGGAATGTAGCATTGGTGGTGGGGTTGGTGAGAGATGGAACTGGAAATGAAAGTGGGGGTGGTCCCGGGAGGAGCCTTGAAAGCGAGCAGAATAAATATCTAACTCTGGAAACCATGAGAGTCTGAAAAGTTTCACAGGAAAGACCACTCTGGTTAGAATGTGGAGCATGAGGTTAAGGGCACATGGCTGACACAGAAAGCCTGGGAAGGAGGCTCCCAGAGCAGCTCAGGCAACCAATGAGGGTGGCCCTGCTGCAGGGTGGTGAATATAGGGGTGGATCCGTATGGGGCAGACGACTATGCCAGGTATTGTGCGGTGGAGAAAGGGATTCCAGGGCTTGGTGGCCAAGAGTGAGGCTGAGTATGAAGAGGGATGCAGACCATTCCCCTAAAGCTTTATTTTTGTGCCTCTTTATTTTCAGAGCCCTCCAGGTAAGAGCTTACAGTGTAAAGAAATTAGGAAACAAAAGAGGTGGAGGGGCAGAGTGAAAGCTGGGGGAGTGGAGGTGTGGTTTTGTTAGAAAAGGGGGCCCCGGTTCATAGGGTAGAGGGCCACCACTTTCCAAAGCACTTGCCAGGTGTGTCCATGAGCCATGTCACAGGAATGAATTTCGCGCTCCTGAATTTTGCAGGTATATGGATCCATCCCTCGACTCCACGCTGATGGACTGCAGGGCGGCCCTAGATTTGCTCTACATGCAGGTGAGGGTCACCAAGAGCTCTGACAGCACCGTAGATCAAAGGCCGTGTTGGCTTGGAATCACTGAAAAAAAATCTATGGTAGTTAATAATTCTACCTCCATACCTAAAATAGGCAAATTCATAGAGACAGAAAGTAGAACAGAGGTTACCAGGGGCTGCGGGGAGTGAGGAAGGAGAAGCTGTTTGATGGGTGCAAGTTTTTTTGGGGGATGACAAAAAGTTTTAGCTCTAAATAGTGGTGACGATTATCCAACATTGTGAATGTATATAATGACTCTGAATTTTGTCAACAGTTAAAATGACAAGTTATGTTGTATATATTTTACCACGATAACAATAAAATGTAAAAAGTAGAGGAGTTTAGAGAGAGAAAAGGAACTCTATCTCTGTTTTAACAATCGCTCTCTGAATTTGCAGCTGACGCACCGTCATCATGAGCCTAGAAAGGCTATCCCTGATAACTTAAAGTCAAAGGCTATCCCTGATAACTTAAAGTCACACGTGATCCCTAAATCTCAGTCTAGCATAGCCTTCTCGCCCCTGAGCCAACAAGCAGCCTGGGTGGGCATGTGGCCCACGCGGTTGCACTGGGCTCCGGGCTCACAGAACCCATGCTTCTGTAATGATCGCTGTTATCATCTTGAAATTCTTCGTTTTATTTTTATTTTTTATTAAAAAAATTAAATTTTCATTGGTACCTAGTAGGTGTATATATAATGTTTATGGGTTACATGAGATATTTTGATGCAGGCATGCAGTGTGTAATAATCCCATCAGGGTAAATAAGGTATCTATTTCCTCAAGCATTTATCCTTTATGTTACAAACACTCCAATTATACTCTTTTAGTTATTTTTAAATGTACAATTAATTTTTTTTTTTTACTGTAGTCATCCTGTTGTGTTAGCAAATACTAGGTCTTATTCATTCTATTTTGTTGTGCCCATTAACCAAAATTTTTAATTTTTGAACAGCATTTTCATTTTGCACTAGGTAGACCCTAAAAATTATGTAGTTGGCCCTACCTACTCCTACCCCCAGCCTCTAATAAAGTGAATTTTGAGCTTGGCTTCAGTTCTCTTCTCCTGCCTCGTGTGGTGAAGCTTCTGCCAAGTCGTGGAATGGTCAGCCCGTGCTGCCCCCAACATACACACCCAGGTCACCAGCTGCCCCAGGTGTTCACACTCACCACACCGCCATCTTCAGAGACCTGATCTTTTCCAGGCTTGGCTTCCACAGTTCTGGGAAGAAAGGTCAGAAACTTCTTTCAGTGAGTTCCCTGAGAATATCTCACAGTCTATTAGGCAGCAGGCAGGGTGGTGGGTCACAGCCCTGCCCTGCTCCAACCCCTCCCAGACTTTCCGTCTCACTCAGGCTAAACCCCAAATCCCAATGTCCTTGTTCTGTTTCCTCCGTAGCATTTCTACCATCTGCCAATGTAAGTATGTGTGTGTGTTGTGTATATTTGTTTACTCTCTCCCTACTGGAATGATTTCTCCATGAAAGTGGCTATTTATTTGTTCACTGCTGCGTCCCCAGAAACTGGAACTGTTCCTGGCATGATGTCGGCATTAAGCCCTGTGGTGGGCCTGGCATCGTATTAATTAAGTGCATTATGTCATTGGAGCTTCATAACAACTCTGTAAGGCAGTTGGTACCATCCAGATTTTCAGGAAGAAAAACATTAGGTTTGCTGACAAAAGATTGAGTAGTGGGTTTGGATTAATAGAAGATGTAGATGAAGAAATTTAACAACACTTATTTGCAGGTGGCTTTTATTTAGCGTGATTCTAAGCTGCTACACTCGATAGCTTTTATAAACTCAGGAGAGAGAGAGAGAGATGGTGGGTAAGTTCTTATTTTTAATGAGCTTTTCAAGTGGAACGTTAATAAAACCTCCTGTAGTACTTCGTGTATAGAAAAAGATCAATGGTGGATTTTGATACCCTGGCTTACCAGAGGGCGTAGAAGAGGGAAAGAAACTTAACCCATGCCTCCTTAAGTGACTTTTAGAGATCAAGACCCCAAAAGCTCTTCTAAATTCTAAGAGGGTAAATCAAAATATCACTTATTAGATGTTTAATGTTCACTATTGTATTTTTATGGCTAGAATATAGCTTTGAGTTTATTCCATATTATACATTAATCAATGTATAATTATGTTCTGGTTCAGCCTGGGCACGGGGGCACACACCTGTAATCCCAGCACTTTGAGAGGCTGAGGCAGGTGGATTACTTGAGCTCAGAAGTTCAAGACCAGCCTGGGCACTATGGCAAAATCCCATCTCTACTAAAAATATAAAAGTCAGCCAGGTGTGATGGTGTATGCCTGTGGTTCCAGCTGCTCAGGAGGCTGAGGTAGGAGGATGGCTTGAGCCCAGAAGGCGGAGGTCACTTAAGATGTGATCACACCATTACACTCCAGTCTGGGCAACATACGAAGAACCTGTCTCAAAAAAAAAAAAAAAAATCACGTTCAGTGTACTTGTGTTATATGAGTTAGAGCATAATTTTCCACTCTAAATGTTTATTGAGGCCCATCCTTGCTACTGTATCCTTGCTATTATGATACATTATTAGCTGTGTCTTGTTTGATACCACGTCCTTGGTTGAGATTGCATCACATAATTCTAATATTGTTCCTGTGGGAAATGTCATCTTTATGGCATGTCTTTTGCTTCTCATTATGATGAGAGGTCAGAGCTTTGAGCATCATAATGTGACTTTTTAAATTTGTCTTCATTAAAGAGTTATAACCAGAGGGAAACAGATGATGGTACTTCCTCTGCTCAAAGCTAAAAAAGAAGGGGGCTTCATGGGAGGCACACTGAATTGCAATTTAAGAAATGAATTCTGTCCCTTGTTCTGCCACTGGTCCTCTCTCTGGGTGACTCTGGGCCAGCCACTGCATCCTTCTGAACCACGACATCTCCCTGTTGAGAGGAGGTGGAACTAACATCATCTCTAAGTTTTCTGCAAACTTTAATAGACTGTCATTCTAACCTTAGCTTATTGCCTGGCAAAGTCTCCAAAAAATTGTCGTTGATGTCATAATAATCTTTATCATCACTGTTATCATCATCATCGTCATCATCATCATCATCATCATTGTTCCCTGAATCTAGGTAGAGGAGCTAAGAAGTCAAAGGTGGGTCCAAGTTCAGTAGGAGAGTCAGGACCATAATCACTACCTCATTTGGGAGGCCTGCCTTGGCTCTCCCCAGAAGAAAATGCCTGCCTTCCTCCAACTTCTCCCAACCAGACTCTGAATGGCCAAGGGCAGAGACTGTCTCATTCCTTCTGTGTCCTGGGTGCCTGGAATATGTGAAAGACTAAGAAGTGGCCAGGCGTGGTGGCTCACACTTGTAATCCCAGCACTTTGAGAGGCCAAGGCAGGTATTTTGAGGTCAGGAGTTCAAGAATAGCCTGATCAACATGGTGAAACCCCGTCTCTACTGAAAATACAAAAATTAGCTGGGCATGGTGGCGCACGCCTGTAGTCTCAGTTACTCGGGAGGCTGAGGCAGGAGAATCACTTGAACCCAGGAGGCAGAGGTTGCAGTGAGCCAAGAATATGTCACTGTACTCCTGCTTGGGCGACAGCATGAGACTCTGTCAGAAAAGAAAAAAAAAGACTAAGAAGCAGTTATCCTTTAAAAAAGTTAACATGAAAAACTCTTGAGTTCTGATAAATAGTGGAGGCATCATAATTAACTATTAAGGGGCACAACTTTGATTTTCTAAAGCAGATGTGCCCATTGATAGCCAATGAGTCAACTGAATTCCCACAGCCTGTTTGCTTTCTTCTCCTCCTCTTTTAACCTGAGTTAAAAAATGAGAGATTACATTTAAAACTGTAAGTAAGTATAAATTTTGAAGGCTCAGTCAATTCTGGGCCTGCATTTCAGCAGGGCCATTGCTGGCCTGGACAGTAATACAAATTAGAAAAAGGTACCCCATCCTCCAGGTGGGGCTAGCCCTGCGTCGGGGCCCATGGCTTGGTGAGTGGAGGAGGGCTGACCTTTGGCTTCCTGACTCCCCCATGCCCTGGTGACCTTGTCCAGGCAAATGCGTCCCTCGCCCTTCTTTACCACGCATTAGCCAGAACCAAGTGGCAAGTGCCTGCCTTTGAGAGGCATGTGACCTCCATTTCTCGCTACTGTGCCCTCTGCAGAGGATGCTAGAGCATGTGTGATCGAAGCTCAGGAAGACCATGGCTTATGTGATTTTGCTTGAGTTTTTAATTTTTTAATTTTATTATTTTTTCTTTTTTTCTCTCTGCAGCACCTTTAGGATGCTTGATTTTTTTAAGTTCAGTTCTGCATAAACCCCTCTCAGCCAGTGTTCAGGGAACCATGTAACTGAGTAGACTTGTCTAGACTCGACTCTCATTGTCTGGACCTACTCAGAGTGAGGCACCGTATAATATCGCATTTGAGTGATGACTTGCGAACCCATAATCAGGGTCAACTCTTTTCAAAGGTAATGATATAAGGCTGGGCACAGTGGCTCACGCCTGTAATCCCAGCACTTTGGGAGGCAGAGGTGGGCAGGTCACCTGAGATTAGGAGTTTGAGACAAGCCTGGCCAATGTGGTGAAACCCTGTCTCTACTAAAAATGCAAAAATTAGCCAGGTGTGGTGGCACAAGCCTGTAGTCCCAGCTCCCAGCTACTCGAGAGGCTGGGGCGAGAGTATGGCTTGAGCCCAGGAGGCAGAAATTGCAGTGAGCTGAGATCACATCACTGCACTCCAGCCTGGGCAACAGAGTTAGACTGTCTTAAAA